AGTTTGTTCATGTCCACGCATCTAGACAAGTTGGAGCAGTAGCCATCTGAAAACTTCAGAGACACAAGCCACTGTAATATAGATGCCTTTTGTGCTTCAGTGACTTGGTAGACTGCTTTTGGGATTTTGTTACCTTCATGTTCTGGATCAACAGAAAGTTCGGTCTGTCACACCATATTGACATATCTTTTCTAGATGCAAGACCATCTTTGGTTTTTCCTTTGAAATTCATCACTGTGTTAAATATATTGTCAAAGACGTTCTTCTCAGTGTGCATGACATCTAAATTGTGACGAATGAGAAGGTCTTTCCAGTATGGCAACTCCCAAAATATACTCCTTTTTGTCCACTTATGGGTATCACAGTACCCATATGGATCCTCATGGGGCTCTTGCACAGCCGTAGGAATACGTCGAACCCGGTCAAAAATTTGTGAACCAGACAATCTCAGGGGTGGAGGGTCTCGTACCACTCTACCTCTAATGAAAGACTTTCTGTCCTTTCGGTATCGGTGGTTTGCCGGGAGAAACTTGCGGAAAGTAACTTGGTTTTCTGCTGTAGTTCAGCCAATTCGCACCTGATTTCTCCATGCATATCGGACATCCCATAAGACCGTGCGTGCTCCATCCCGAAAGCATACCATATGCAGGGAAGTCGCTAATGGTCCAAATGATGGCAGCTTTCATGGTGAACATCTGATCTGTTGAAACATCATAAGTTCGTGTCCCAACGGTCCAAAGTTGTTTCATCTCCTCGATAAGGGGTAGGAGATAAATGTCTATCCTTTTTCTAGGATCATTAGGACCAGGACAAATTAAAGTCAAAAAGATGAAATGACTTTGCATGCACATGTCGGGCGGGAGATTGTAAGGAGTTAACATGACTGGCCAACAGGAATAGTTCTTCCCAAATCTTCCAAAAGGAGCAAATCCATCTGAACATAATCCCAGACGCACATTTCGTGCTTCCATTGCAAATTGAGGATGGCAACGGTCAAAGTGTCTCCATGCTTCACAGTCCGAATGCAGATCTATTTCGTGATTTTGTTTTACTTTCACGAACAGGTTTGTATCTGTCTCCTCCACAGAACTTGCAGATCTCAAGTGTCTCATCATCCTTCCAGAACAGCATACATCCCTTAGGGCACGCATCAATTTCTATGTGAGGAAGCCCCAACTTAGATATTAATTGTTTCATGTTATAATATGAATCAGGGAGGCTGTGGTCACGCGGTAGCATTCCTCCAACTGACTGCAACACTCTAGACATGCAAGTTTCAGGGAGGCTGTATTCAGCTTTTATGTTCATGAACTCTGTAACGGCGGACAGCTGAGAGTATCCCTCACAATCAGCATACAGAGGTTGATCCGCGGCTTTTAAAACATCTTGAAATCTCTCAGCTAAATCTTCATCGACATAAGGCTGGTAGCCGGACCCGGAGGCTTCAGCAGGATCGTTAAATTGTTGTGGGGGGTTAAACTGAGACGACGGGACGCCGTATCTGTCATATACCATTTGTTGATCCCATCTCATTCCAGCATATTCTCCCCAACCACTCATCTGGTCAGGGACGTTACGAGATGAACCCACTGTTTGTGGTAAAAGAGATGGATCATAGGCTTCGCCATGACAAGTCCAATTATAATAATTGGGAACAAACCCGTCCGCGTACAAATCCCACCCAACAGCGTCTTGGTCTTTAAATTTCATATTTTTACATTTTGAACAAGGACATCTGATATTATCACCACTCATATAATAATCCGGGTGTTCAAGTGCAAATTTAATAAACTCCGCAATTCCATCAAGAAAATTTGATTTCATTCCGTACAATTCCGCATTTTTATCATACATCCAAATTCTATTTTGCCTATACATTATGCCTGAATATTATAAAAAAAAAATATTGGTTAAAAATTTCAAATTATAGACATTATTAACCACATATGTATAGTAGGAGCATTATTAATATATTTAATTTTACGAAACAATAACTTTCAATTAATAATATTAATTAACTAGAACTAATACGATAATATGATGTCATTAATCATTTAAATCAGACACTAATTTATAAAATGCAATAAATTAGTACAAATTTAACTAATTTACATAATTCTAACTAAATACAACATCATGCACTAAGTTAACTAATTTTAACCAATTTATTTCGTTAATATAAAATGCAATAATTTACTACAAATTTAACTAATTTAAATTACGTAATTCCAACTAAATACAATATCATGCACTAAATTAACTAATTTTAACTAATTTATTTGGTTAGTTAATTAACAACAAATCATAATTTATAAAATGCAATAAATTAGTAAACATTTAACTAATTTACGTAATTCTAACTAAATACAACATCATGAACTAAGTTAACTAATTTTAACTAATTTATTTCGTTAATTAATTAACAAAAAATCATAATTTATAAAATGCAATAAATTAATACAAATTTAACTAATTTACGTAATTCTAACTAAATACAACATCATGCACTAAGTTAACTAATTTTAACCAATTTATTTCGTTAATATAAAATGCAATAATTTACTACAAATTTAACTAATTTAATTTACGTAATTCTAACTAAATACAATATCATGCACTAAATTAACTAATTTTAACTAATTTATTTGGTTAATTAATTAACAACAAATCATAATTTATAAAATGCAATAAATTATTAAACATTTAACTAATTTACGTAATTCTAACTAAATACAACATCATGAACTAAGTTAACTAATTTTAACTAATTTATTTCGTTAATTAATTAACAAAAAATCATAATTTATAAAATGCAATAAATTACTACAAATTTAACTAATTTACGTAATTCAAACTAAATACAACATCATGCACTAAGTTCACTAATTTTAATTAATTTATTTCGTTAATTAATTAACAACCTTTTTAAAACCCATTTTAAGTAAATAAAACCTAAAATTTACCTAATATTTTCATGAATTCAACTAATTTAGCTAATTAATTCAACTTTATGCATCACTACGTTTAAACCTACGTCTAACTAATTCTTAATAAAAAAACGTAAGTGAATGACATACCTTATTTGCATAAACACGGAAAATGACAGAAGGTAGACTACATCCGCTTAATCTTTCAGACAGCTACTGTAATATATATTATGAATGAGTTGGTGTGATTCAACTGAATGAGTTAGGCCATCTATATATAAAAACTTTAGTCACGGATTTAGTCACGGATTAGTCCCTGACTAACTTTATTCGTACAAATTGAATTGAATAAGGACCGTTGAAAATTAATTTTTCCTTTTAGTCACGGATTTAGTCACGGATATGTCCGTGACTAAATGCTGGAGTAAAATAAATTCAACTGGAGAAGGAATTCCGGTGACCAGAGGACCTTAGTCGTGGCCTTCGTCCGTGACTAAATGTAGTCACGGACGTAGTCACGGACAGATCCGCCACAATTTTTTTAAATATACGTGACTAGTCCGTGACTAAGATCATGACTAATTAGTCACGGACCGTATCCGTGACTAAAATCCGTGACTAAACGCGTGTTTTTTTGTAGTGACTCTAAGCTTTATCAGAATGCATTTAACATTCTAAAATTTCATTTGTTAAATAAGTTATATTATATCCGGTATAATTTAATTTTAATTGCATCCTCATAAATGTTTTGTATATTTTAAATTATGTATGTAGTACTTAACACCATAAAATTGCATTTGTAAAAAAAAATATGATTGTGGTGCAAATATAACTTTTTATATAAAGTTTGAGGTATATATATTAAATGTGCATGTTTGGGATATTTATATCACACCCCTTCAAAGTTTGTGATATTTAAATTATTTTCTCCTATAAATATATGAAGTAAAAGTACATCGCAACATTTTTAGTTTATTTTTAGTTTATTTTTAATTAATTGTTCTTAAATTACCATATCAGCATGTTTGATAAGAGTGTAATCGGCTAAAATGGCTCAATATTGAAATTAATTAAATTCTTATTGAAGTAGCTAAATTGATTAAATCTGCTGAATAATGTTAATATTATATTTAAATATATTTTATTAATAAATTATAGAAGAAATTGTGTGAAAATAGTTAAAATGTGTGAGAACAATGATCATGTAAACTTTCTAAGTTAAATGACCATGAAGAAAAACATTTTTAACATCCAATTGTCGAATAGATCAACCAAAAGAAACAACAAAAGTGAGAACTATACGAACAATAGTAGGCTTAACAACAGGGCTAAATGTTTTACAAAAATCTCCACCATCATGCTAATTAAAGCCTTGAGCAATCAAACAAGATTTTTAGCGTTCAACTGACCCATTAGAAAGAAATTTGGCCTTATTATTAAAATTTATTTAGACCCAACTATATTTTTACTAGAATTAAAAGGAACTAAATACTAGGTATGATGATCAATAAGTGCAATAAACTCCTTAGCCATGGCCTCTCCATTTAATATCTTTATTAGGAACAGTAAAACAAGTAGGATCGCATGTTGTAATATCACTTTTTAAATTAAAATTTGATTTGGGTTTGAATATGTCAGATTTAAACTAATTCCTTGTGTCGCTGCCAAAAGTCCCTGATGGAGTAATAAGACTAGGCCCAGAGCCTAATCGGCCCAAGCCCCGAACTTGGACCCGTGGATCCAAGTTCATGACCTGGAACCTATCTACCAGTCCAGCGGGGAGCCTGTCAGTCCGCCCGACCTGCCAGCTGGGAAAAGTAACGGTCAAGCAATTAATGCGTTGTTTAATTATGTATTTAATTTCGTATTAATGTTGTAATTAATTAGTCATTATTATCGATAGCGGTTACGATTTGTATACGCCTATAAAAGGCAGATTGTAATTCAAATTAAAGGAACTTCTATATGCTATTCTTGGCAACTAAAATTCCTGAGCAACTTTCCATTCTCGTATTATTTTCTTGATTCTTGCTTGAGTGTCTATCGTAGCTTTCCTATAAGCATACGAGCGTCCTATTTTGGACCAACATTGGTGCTTTCATTGAGAGCTTGGATTCTCTCATATCACTCCGGTGGGAATCAAGAAAGGGAATTTCTGGAAAATCTGTTGAAAAAAAATGAAAACACGAATAAATCGGTTCTGGAAATCCAAAAAAGTTTGGGATCTTCCTCTGTTGACCCGAACTCCAGCTAATCGGGCTTACTGAAGCAGTCAAGATCATTGCCAAGCTCGAGCACTTCACTGCACCACCTGTAGTCTGTCGGGTCGTGGCGGCTCTCGTCGCCTTCGCCCCTGGTTCAGCACCACCGTCGCTTCGAGTTTTAGCACCACCGCCATGAAGGTTCCTGCAAACATACGGCCTAAACAACGTATGAACCCACGGTCTGCCGTCCAGGCCTGAATCAGCCTAATGACCGGCAGCAAAGTGGAGATCGACGCATACCGTATGACTCCAAGACGAGCTCTGCAACTCCATCACCGCCGCACCTGTCACCGCGCCGCCCGCCGTCGAGGTTTGCTGGGCCTGCACGCTGAGATCGAGTTGCGGTATTGGGGACCCCTGGGCGAGATGCTCCGGGCTGGCAATAGGAACTGAGGGCCGCCCCTACTTCGACGATGGCGAGTTCGTCCTCCCTTTCCGGCGGAATCGAGGACATCTCCTCTTCCTCTCCGGAGCTGCAGAACGGCCCTCATTTCTCCGGACCTAACGGGAGTTGCTGAGAAGAAGACGGACCACAATCATTCAACAAGTCTGCAGCATTCCACTATTTAGCATGGGCCCAAGGGAATCACCAGGCTCTTATTCATTTCAGCCAAGCCCATCAACAAATGGCCCAAACAAAAGCTAAGTATAAAAAATCATCTATTCCGTATATTTGATGATATTTGATACATAGAAAAATTGATTAAGTTGCAAAAAAAAAATCATAAATTGCAGCATATTGAAAAGTACATTAAGTGGTATAATTGCTTTTACTCTTTTCAAATGTGTGTAATTTTAACATTGAAAACGGACTTATGAAATCCGATCACTCACGTACACCGGACGAGCACACACACTCGTACAATGGTCGAGCACACACACTCGCGCCACCGGATCACGTCATATGGGTGTGGCGATTAATAAGCTCCAATATAAATGTTAATACCGCACACTCTTGATTTCATACGAGTTCTTGCGTGCTCTTACCCCTTCCCAGTGCATCACACTCCGACCTCGGGGGACGTGTCGCCCGTTCAAAAGTCTTCACTTGCGGGTTCGAACTACTAACCTCAGGTGCCGAGTTAAACTCTTGTTAGGGGCCTAGAGCCACGCTCTTCCGAGCAATTTTTTCACTTAATTGACATTCACATTTCCCGAAAAGGTCGATATACTTTAGTTCTGTGGGGTTGGATTATCCGTTCGAATGGTGACTCCGAGTCACTTACTCGCGGATTCGGTCTTCCTTTCGGAGACTGGGTTGAGGCCTAACTTGGGAAATTGATGTCACTCTTTTCAAGTAGTGAGTCCGACTCACTCACTCACTTATTTGACATTCACATTTCCTGAAAAGGTCGATATACTTTAGTTCTGTGGGGTTGGATTATCCGTTCGAATGGTGACTCCGAGTCACTTACTCGCGGATTCAATCTTCCTTTCGGAGGCTGGGTTAAGGCCTAACTTGGGAAATTGATGTCACTCTTTTCAAGTAGTGAGTCCGACTCACTCACTCATTGAGTCGTGGTTCAACACCAGACCAAATGCTCTATTATACACCTGTTGCTTTTATGTGTAGGTACGACTGAACGAGGAGTAGCCTGATGAGTTCAAGCCCGACGAGAAGAACGGTTCTAGTCATCCTCTTCACAGATGGCGAGCATTGCATTAAAGGCTGAGGATTTCACCTCTTGCTTCATCTTGGGGGCGTCAGATGTACTCTTTTTCCCTTCATTGGGATTTTTTCCCATTGGGTTTTTTCCTAATGAAGGTTTTTAATGAGGCATCTCCCCGACATGGACAAAGGCGGGGATCTTCCAGTCTCGAAGAAGAGCAACTGACTTGGACTACTCCCTCTTAGCCGAGTTTACTACTCGACTAAGGGAGTGGGGGACTCGTGATGGAGTAATAAGACTAGGCCCAGAGCCTAATCGGCCCAAGCCCCGAACTTGGACCCGTGGATCCAAGTTCATGACCTGGAACCTATCTACCAGTCCAGCGGGGAGCCTGTCAGTCCGCCCGACCTGCCAGCTGGGAAAAGTAACGGTCAAGCAATTAATGCGTTGTTTAATTATGTATTTAATTTCGTATTAATGTTGTAATTAATTAGTCATTATTATCGATAGCGGTTACGATTTGTATACGCCTATAAAAGGCAGATTGTAATTCAAATTAAAGGAACTTCTATATGCTATTTCCGGCTCTGAAACTCCCTAGCTACTTTCCTTATTCGTATTACTTTCCTGATTTCTGCTTGAGTGCTCTTACGTAGCTTTCCTAAAAGCCTACGAGCGTCCTATTTTGGACCAACAGTCCCAATTACCAATTGCCATCATGCAGCATGATGTTGTTTCTCTATCAAAAATCATAAATTGCTATTATCTTTTAATCATGTATAAAAGTAAACATAAATCTAATTGTACGGTTGATGGAGGTTTCTAGGCTCAAAATTGTTCGTACGTGAATCCAAATTCTAAAATTAAGTGGATCACAAGCATTTTCTATTGACACTTTCATAAAATAAATAAAATGCATCCATCAATCGTATATATAGAATTTTTTATATATGCAATATTGGTGTCACATGAAAAAATATAATAAATTCTAAATTTTTATACATATTTTTTGTATAAATCAAATTATAAATTATAAAAAAGTTATAGCAAATTTAAAAAAGTTTTTTTTAAGTTGGGGGTCCCAAACATGTAGCTTTCCCCTAGCTGGCTAGTGTTGTTTATGTTTTCTGATTCTTAAGGAAGACTTAACTGAGTTGTTTTGTTGATTCAATTTGAGTTGTTTTTAAATAAATGCTTTAGAACTTAATATGCCTTTATTGACATTTTCAGTCAAAAAATAAATTATCCCCTAATTGCAGCATGAAATTACGCTATACAATCATGAGATCTTAATTTTAAAGATTGGATCTATTTAAAAAAAAATGAGCCTAAAAACCTTCATTTATGGTATATTCAAAATTCTTTTTATTTTAAATAGCAATATTGGTGTCATATGAAAGCTAAGATAATAAAAATTCATGAATTTTGATATATTTTTTTACAAAAATAAAATTGCAAATAAAATGTTATATCAATTTTAAAAGGCTAAAGGGTCAAATTGGCATTTGAACTGACTTAAAGTGTTCAATTAGCCCCTTATATAGGAGGTTTTGTCTGGCCATCGCCAATTGTGACGGTTCCCAATGGAATTTTTTGATGAAATTTTTTGAGCATCTTCTCCATTAAGTCTAGTTTACTCATACCAAATTTCAGCTAATAATTCAACCGGGAAAGTAGTCAAATGATTTTTTAAAGATAAATGTGATGTTAAACAGCGCAGTACATTTCGGAAAATCATTTGACTGCCTTCCCGGTTGAATTATTAGCAGAAATTTGGTATGAGTAAACTACACTTAATGAAGAAGATGTTCAAAAAATTTCATCAAAAAATTCCATTGGGAACCATCCCAACTGGGGACGGTCGGGCAGAAACTCCTATATAAGGGGTTAATTGAACACTTTAAGTCAGTTCAAGGGCCTATTTGACCCTTTAGCCATTTCAAAATAGAGAGATTTTTTTGTTGGTGATTTCTGAGATGCATACTTAATCCTAACGTAATAAGAATTGTAATTTCTAATCTAGAATATATCCCAACGTAATAATAATTCCAATTTTTAATCTAGAATATGTTTGCTCAAAAGATGACACATGGCAAAACTTTTTATAATTATATCTTTGAAATATATTATTTATAGATGTGAATGACTTGTGCCTTTTAATTTGATTAAGCTATTGAATGGTTTATTAGATAGAGGTTTAATTAGGATGTTTCTAATCAAACTAAATTTTCTGGTCTGACTTGATTTAGTCTGGTCAATTTATGTATGGGCCAGTTTGGCCTGATAGGTGTTTGGTCTATGTATATATTATAATTGTCGAAGTCTGACATGGTCTGTTTAAGTCCGGTTTACGACAGAAATCAGTTCAAATGAAAACATCCTCACAAAGGCCCAAATAACCTTACTCGAAAATTAATTACATGAGAAATTAGCTAATGTATGGAAGACCATAACCATCTATAGATAAAAGAATCAAACACGTGATTAAGTAGTTTACTTTGTTAGAAATTAAATGATTTAGAATTGTGGAGGTAGTTAGTGGATGCTCTGAGATCAATCTATCCAAAATTTTCAAGTGCTTATATTTTATGTTTAAAAATTTGTGAAAATTTATTCAAAAAATACTCCCACTTATGCCCTTGCATGTTTTATGCCCTTACATGTTTGGTTCATATTCGTAGCATTTAAGGATAGAAGGTAAGCAACATGATTTATGGTATGTTCGACACAACTAGTTGAACAAATACTTTTATGAGCTTTTTTGTAACTGTTAGATTTTTGTGATAAAAAAAATCTTAAAGGAAAGAAATTGTATCTATTTGATAACAAAAACTGAGTGTTTGATTTACTTTTATTTGGTATAACAAGGTGTTGTAATTAGGTAATACTTTTGTTTTTAAAAAGTTTTTTAAACTTATTGTGTCAAATATACAAAAGGAACTTTTATAGACTTTTCAAATAGTATTAAAATTAGAAGATAGAAACTTATGGAATTAATTCCACTTCTGGTCCTACAAATTTTATGTTGATTCCACATTTAGTCCACGTGTTTCATTTTGTCCACTTTTGATACTTGACTAATGTTTTTTGACCATTTGTAATCCTTCTCCAGCGATTTTAATCACTGAAAACATTAAACTCGTAGGACCATATATGGACGAAAACACAATAGTCATTATTAAAAGTGGACAAAGTGTAAGAAGTAGACTACATGTGAAATTGACATCAAACTCGTATGACCAACACATGAAATTTATTTGAGACTTATGTGGACCAAACATGCACTTAAAAGATTTCCGATGGAAATGTTCTTAATATTGACAAATATATTAGTTATGTAACTAATAAACAAGATCAAATATGTTATTACTAAATAAAGCTACAGTATTAAAAGAGGACTAAATCTATAACTTTCTCCGAAACATAAGTTAGAAGCTATTACGTACTCATGTCAAAGAATAGGGGGGAGTATAGAGGTGAGCATATGTTTTCTAGAGTTTTTTCCTGAAATAATGCTAATTATATGGAAGTACACAACATGTAA